TCATAGACCTACCATCTATGATTCATGGGGTTCCTCCCGTCCAAGCAGTCACATACTAGATGAATGGGGCCTATCGAACCAACATCTTAGACGAGTTCAACGTCCTCATGGGATTTCATCAACCTGCAGAGATCCAAACCGCAGAGTACAAGGGGGCATATTGCGAGAGACCAACCACCCTCACCACTAGCCAGATATGGGAGGAGATTACCGGCTCCTAGCACATTCCTGCCAACCCAAAGGGGACCGCCTTCTTCCTTCCTCTCCGCATTTGTCACAAATTACAGGCAGGCACCATTCATAGTAGGAAAGAAAGCCAAAGCAAAGTCACTCAGGCAGACCTTTTTGCCATCTACTGCATGCATCAAGGATTCCAATGCAATCCTGGCTATTTCTTCCTGAAGGCGCTGAAAGACTTTGGGACCCGAGACCCAACAAGGACCATCATGATAGGTCCCCTTATCACCCCTCTGACTGAATATTGGGGATGCACAGATGGAGAAGACATCCCTGCCGCTCTCCATCCAGAACTCATAGATGGGACGGTACTCGCCAACATGAGCATGCTCACTCGGTAAGGGACCACATGGGTCTTACACCCCCTTCTTGCCATGATGATCAACATTCACGATATGGACGCATCAGAGTCACAAGAGGTGCCCATCCCTCCAGGATCCTAGTAGCAACAGACGCAATACGGGGATGACTTCACTAGTGTACATCGACATAAAGGCGACGAGAGGACCCATATGGATAGACAATTCCAGCACCTGCGCCAACAGATCGATCAGATGTCCCTAAGGCAGGAGGGTTATGAGCGAGTACAAGAAAGTCTCAGCCATAGGGTAGATGGCCTCACACAAAGGGTGGACGAAATAGGCCAGAACCTAAACAACATGATCCAAAGCCAAGAGGAGTTCCAGCGTCGCGTACTCTGTCGATTCCCCTTGCCAGCACCATCCTCAACGTCCAACTCAGAGCCAGAAAGTTGAGATCTTTAGTAAATTTCCTATTTTTGTTACAATAAGTCGGTTGTACTCCGGGCCTCACAAAATAAATGAGACTTTTAACATTTTTTATCTAATTGTCTTTCCTCTCTTTTAACAAAAGCCTGCGTGTATGAAAGAAACTAGGAAATAAAATAGCCCACGCATCATTTCGAAAAAGCCAAATTTCAAATCATGAGAAAAAAGAATAAACTGCGAAAAAAGGCGAAATTAAATAAGAGCTTCCGAAATCAAATAAGCTCCAACTACTATCTTTCCACCGAATAAAGGGAAGACAACTTTCAAAAGCAAAGCAGACGGAAAGGCTCAAATCCCTAAGCGGATCAATGCCTACTCCAAAGGTAAACAAAAAAAATTCTCAGCATCGTCGCCACTATGAGACATCAAGCATGCTCAGTCCATTCTCAATCACACCCGCCAAAGGAGAATAAGGGCTCCGTAAAAGCCCATCACCAACACAATCAAGGAGACAAGACTCCATTTCCCTCAGAGGGCCACCAAAATCTTGTCCCCGGGAAGTAAACCAATTCCCCATTGGATCAATCAAAAAAGAAATATCATTCCTGTCACCGCCTTCAAAAGAGGCAGTCGGAGCGACGCGATGATTTTGAATGACTTGCGTTTTTTATAAAGATGGTCGACATTCTTAAGATGTTCGATAACCGAAATAATCTTAAGAATGAAGTTTTCGTGAAGGTTCTATGGAGTCGTCACTGATGTTTTTAGCAGAAACATCAAAAAAGGAAAAAGAAGGCGTTGGTTTAGAAAAACCAACCTTGGCCGTTATAACCAGAGTTGGGTAAGGGAGTTAGTTACATGTGGGGAGGTGTTAGCACCCCATAACGTCCCTTTCGGGTTTCCTATGATGGACTAGTTTATAAAATAAATACTTAAAGAAACTATGATTTTACCCTATTATTTTATCTACTTGCAGAATTTAAATGTCTACATGGTCCTAGTATCTAATGCATACAAGGAAAATAGTAAAAGAAAGCAGTAAAAGAGAAGAGATATAAAGAAGAACCTCCGAAGTGAGCTTTTATAAATCTTGAACTTGAGGATGCTTTTTGGCAGTCCTCGCACTCTATAGAGACACTCCTCCCTCGAATAAAAAATAAGAATACCACACTACCGAGCGCTGGATGTCTCAAAAGGAGACTTCCTTAACCGATTTCTACCTTAAACAGAAATCAAAAAGCTCACTCGAACTCTGGAATAATGTCAGAGTCACTCTCTAGTGTCAAAAGACATCCTAGAGAGTGTAAGAGTGGAAAGGTGTGTGAAAAATGAGAAATGGGGCTCTTATTTATAGGGAACCGAGCCAGGAAAAGTGGACGACCGTCCATGGCAAAAAGTGAGCATGGACGGTCGTCTATATAGAGTGGACAACAGTCCATGGCCAAAAGTTACCATGGACGGCCGTCTGGGCTAAGTGGACGGTCGTCCATTGCTTTAAAGTAGGCATGGACGACCATCTGCTATTCCTAACAAAAATTCCGCTTTTTATTGCCTCAGAAAACCCTTCCTATCTGAAATGGAACCTAGAACAAGCTACTAGGGACTTAACAAATTCTTGACCATCTTCGAAATGAGTGATTTCTGGCTTTATTAGGGAGTCAGGCAAGATTTGGGGTCTACAATTCTTAGTGAGCCTACCACAAAGGCAATCCTCAAAGACTTATCCTCAGCAAGTCGCTCGCCTATGCATAGACAAAACCTGGCAATCAAAGAGCCAACATCCCTGAAGGGAATATCAGCCTACTCAGAGGCAAAACAATACAATCCAAAAGCCTTCACTTCTGATGAAGCATCCGCCTAGTCAGAGGCAAAGTCAAAATCAACAAATCCCCAATGGAATCCTGCCTGCTTAAGAGGCATTCATTAAGAATCCTTGATAATCAGAGTCGGATGGCTACACAGAAAAGCCAAAAATACATTCTCAAACACAAGTACTCCCCATGGAGTCGACGCATAAGCTAGAGCAGTAAGCTGCCACCACCTTCTCTATTAGAAAGATCAAACACCACAGCAAAAGGGGCATCCAGAAGATAGAGTTTCACACATCGTCCGAAGGATCACCTCTGTTGCAAAGGAGTATCTGAAAGACACAATCCATCGTCATCGCCTAAAGGATCAGCTCTGCTGCAAAGGAGTATCTCGAAGGCAGGATTTACGTACATCATCCGAAGGATCAACCCCGTTGCAAAGGGGTATCCGGAGGACACAACCCACCTTTACCGTCCTAAGGGTCAGCTTTCGCAGCATGGGAGCATCCTGAAGACAAGATTCTACTACGCATTCACCACCTAAGGGGTCAGTTGCTGCATCAAAGGAGCATCCCAAGGGAAAAATCTTCATCAGCCGAAGGGTCAACTACCACATCAAAGGAGCATCCTGAAGCTTCACACATATCGTCCAAAGGGTCGGCCTCTGTAGCAAGGAAGCATCCTGAAGACAACACCAAACTATATTCATAGTCCCGAGGGTCAGCTACCACGACAAGAGGAGTATCTAGAGGACAACCGGGCAAGAGGGTTAACTCCTTCACCCGCCAATCAACCTTATCGTACGTTAACCCATAGTCAATTGGTCGGGTGAAGGGGGGCAGCTGTAGACCCCAAATCTTTCCCGATTCCCTAATAAAGCTAGAGATTACCTGTTTCAAAGATGTTCAAGACTTTGTTAAGTCCCTAGTAGCTTTTTCTAGGTTCCATTTAAGATAGGAAGGGTTTTTAGAGGCAATAAAAATTGGAAATTTTATCGGGAACAGCAGATGGCCATCCAGGACAGTCAAACGACCGTCCATGCCTACTTTAAGGCAATGGACGACTGTCCACTTAGGCCAGACGGCCATCCATGGCAACTTTTGGCTATGGATGACCGTCCATGGTCACTTTTTGCCATGGACGACCGTCCACTAAGTCCAGACGGCCGTCCACGTTTTCCTGGTGCGGTTCCCTATAAATAGGAGCCCCATTCCTTGATTTTTTTTCACAACTATTCACTCCTACCACTCTCTAGGAAGCCTTTTGGTACGTTTGAGTGACTCTGAGCATTATTCCAGAGTTCAAGTGAGCTTTCCGATTTCCGTTAAGGTAGAAATTGGTTAAGGAGGTCTCTCTTTGAGACATCCGGCCCTCGGTAGAGTGAAATTTTATCTTTTCCGGGAGGAGCATGCCTGTAGAGTGCGGGGACTTCCAAAAAGCGTCCTCAAGTTTCGAAGAGTTAATAGAAAGCTTGCTTTGGACGTTCCTTCCCTATTCTCTCTCTCTTTTATTGCTTTCTTTATCACTTTCTTTGTATGCATTATAGGATAAGTCTCGAATATTAGAACCATGTAGACATTTAAATTTTGCAAGTAGGTAAAATAATAGGGTAAAAGCATAATTTTTTTAGTATTTATTTTATAAACTAGTCCATCATAGGGAACCCGAAAGGGGCGTTGTGGGGTGCTAACACCTTCGCCACATATAACTAACTCCCTTACCCGACTCTGGTTGTAATTGCCAAAGTTGGTTTTTTTAAAACCAATGCTTTTTTTTTCCTTTTTCGATGTTTATGGTAAAAACATCGATGACGACTTCATCGAACCTTTTCGAAAACCTCCCCTTTAGGTATAACCTAGTTATCAGACAACCAAAAGGCGTTGAACATCTTCCTTAAAAAATGCGAGTCAATCAAAACCATCGTGTCGCTCTGACAACCTCTTTTGACGGTGGTGACAGGGCCAAGGGTGAGGGCAGACCTATGGGGAACCGTGAGGTGGCTAGGGTTACCGGGGGAAAGGAGGAAAAAGTGATTGGGTGGATGAGGTGAAGTGAAGTGAATGCGTAGGGAGAGTGGGGGCTGCTCCGTGAAGGTGGAGAAAAAATGTTGGTGAGGAAGATTGAAAATGGAGCTCAATGATGGGTGCTCCAGGAAGAGGAGTGTGGGTGGCTGAGTTGTTGGGTTTGGTGGCACTGTGAGTGATGGTGGTCGAGGTGTGGTGAGTGGATGGAGGAAATGGAGGCCCGAATGAAGGTGTATGTCCTAGGGGTGAGGGAGGAGATTGGGAGAAGGGTAAGGTTGGGTGGCTGGGTGATTGGACGGTGAAGAAGAATGGAGATTAGGCGAGGGTGAGGGATCCATAGGGGGCTAAAGAAAATGGGAGAGAAACAAATGGGCCAATGGAGGGAGCTGCGTGGGGGAAAGGGGAAATGAAGGTGAAGGAGAGGGGATCAAGGTTGACGATGACTGGATTTGTGATAATAGAGGTTGGGTGTTGGGCGACACGGGTGATATAGGGTGAGTGTGAATGGAGGCCAGCTGAATCCCCCCCCCTTATTCACTATTTCCCCATTCTAAAGTAAAAAACTAGGTTAAAATTTAGAGACTTAGGTTAAAAAATGGTTGGGCCCAAAAAAGAATGATCCTTTTTTTTTTTTTTTTTTCCAAATTATGATGTATATATATATATATATATATATATATATATTTAATTCCTTTTCGTATGATCATAGTAAGTGATAATTAAAGATAGAAGCAATAATTTTGTTCGGGTTTTCAGAATTATGACAAAAAGAGGACGTATAGGTTGTTCATGGTTGAGACAAACCATCAATCCGAAATATGACATGAAATTTAAAAGGATATATAGATCACCCGTGGAAGGGAGTGACCATCAATCCGAACTATTTGGAAATGGATGTATAGATTTCCTGTGGAAGAGACTAATCATCAATCTGAACTGCTTGAAAAAGGATGTATAGATTGCTCATGGAAGGGACTGACCATCAATCCGAACTATTTGAAAATGGATATATAGATCACCCGTGGAAGGGACTAACCCTTAATCCAAACTATTTGAAAATGGATATATAGATCGTCCGTGGAAGGTACTGACCTTCAACCCTAACAGTTTGGAAATGGATGTATAGATCGCCTGTGGAAGGGAGTGATCATCAATTCGAACTATTTGAAAATGGATATATAGATCGCCTATGGAAGGGACTGATAATCAATTCGAACTGTTTGAAAAAGGATGTATAGATCGCCCGTGGAAGGGACTGATCATCAATCCAAACTATTGAAAATGGATTTATAGATCGACGTGGAAGGGACTGATCATCAATCCGAACTGTTTGAAAATGGATATATAGATCACTTGTGGAAGAGACTGATCATCAATCCGAACTGTTTGAAAAGGGATATATAGATCGTCTGTGGAAGGGATTGATCATCAATTTGAACTGTTTGAAAAAGATGCTTGATGTTGCTAGGGAAAACTGGACTTTTTAATGCAGATGCCAGGTACACTGGCTAGATGCATGCAGGTGCTAGGCAGATACTGGGCATAAATGACAATGCTGATATGAGAGACGAGGATGCATGAATGCACGCATTGTCCAGCAAGTGGAGATGCATGGATGCATGTGTTGATTTGAATATACAGATGCATGGAAGTGCCAATTGTGAGAATGCATGGATCAAATTCAATGTATGTATGAACGTATGGATGATGTAAAAGTAATGTAGATGTATGGATGCATGTTGTTGATGTAGATAAGGATGCATGATGCATGTGGTTGATGCCATTGCGACTATATGGATGCATGTTGCTGATAGGCAAGCTGTAACACTTTGTTTATTTGTTTTCTTTTTCCCCTCCTTTTTTTTTCATGCACTTCTATTTTCAATTTTTCTTGATCTTTTTAATGAAAGTAAGCATTGTGGATCCATTATTTCCTTTGTAATCATCAAATCCATTAAAATTTGTCATTTTATTTATTTTAAAGAATGCAAGTGGGGGGACATTACAAATCCTGAAGCCCAATGCAATGACTAAAGTATGGAAAAAATCGACATTTTCTTTTGAAATGTTGAAGAATCAGATGTCTACTTGACTGGTTGTTTAGAGATATGACTCGTTTGGCTAAGTTGACAGGCTTGAAGGAAGTTGGCGATGATGTCAGGTTATGTAGGGAGGTTCCCCTTTTGACATTCCTTAATCGAAAAAAGTTTCACAAGGGTGGAGTTACAGAAATAGGAATTGTTACCCTAGTTTCAAGTTACAGGGAAGCTGGATAACAAAGGGTTAGGGAACGGTGTGGGTTGCCCCCCATTATAGTAGTGGTATTAAAGAGATGAACATGATTGCCCCTGTAGACCCCTAATTTTGCACGGCCTCTCAATAAAGACCAGAAGACTTCCTCTCTGAAGGTGGGTAAAGCTTCGGTGGACGTCCATCAGCATCAACCGGCTTCCGTCTGAAGAAAGGAAAGCTTCCCTGGAGTCCCAGAACACAAAATTTGGCCAAAACACTCGAGATAGCCGTCCCAGAAAGCAGGACAACCGTCCCAAACAGGCGAGACGCATGTCCCAGATGTGAGACGGGCGTCTCACTCAAAAAAACCACCTAAGACGGCTATCCCAACCTTTGCAGACCGCTGTCCCTGTTTTCTGGACCCCAGACGGCCATCCTGAGCTGGCTGGCTGAAAAAACTATAAATAGGGACCTTAGATGACATTTTTTCACACACCTCACTCCTCTCTTCTCTCCCTCTTTCAAATGATCTCTCCGATTGCCTATAAGGTAACAATCGGTTAAGGATGTTTCTTTCGGCATTCGATTCTTCTTAGAATTTTTGTAGTGTTGGTCCTGTATTCGGGGAGGAGAGTCTTTGTAGTGTGGGGGATTGCCAAAACGCATCCTCGCAGTTGAAGATTTGTAATAAAAAGCTTGCTACGGAGGTTCTTTTCACTTCTCTTCTCTTTTATTGCTTTATTTACTGCTTTATGTATGCAATAGAAAATAAAATCATGTAGATAGTCATTTTTTTAATATTGTATAATAAAATAGGGTAATAGCGTAATTTCTCTTAATCTTTACTTTATGGATTAATCCGTCATAGGGAACCCAGAAGGGGCGTCGCGGGGGTGCTAACACCTTCCCCACGCGTAACTAACTCCCTTACCTAACTCTGGTTATAATGGCCAAGTTTGGTTTTTCTTAAAATCAACGCCTTTTTATCCTTTTCCAATGTTTATGGTCAAAACATTGGTGGCGACTCCATAAGAACCCTTTTACGAAAACCTTGCTTTTATTAGAGGATAGTTAAGTTGTTGAGCACCTCGGGAGCAATGATCACATTTTTAATAAAATGCAAGTCTAAACCATCTTTTCGCGACCGCTCGCATAAACGTTCGAGATGTCCCAAGACGTCGGAACGGACATCGGCAACAAATGACGACTTCACTAGGGAAGCTAGAGAGTTGATCCCATTTAGTGACGGATAAATTCAAACTAAATAAAGATTTGAAATTACGCCTTTACCCTCCTTTGTATGTTTTATCGTATGGCTTTAATAACTGCTGTATGATTACTTTCTGCAAATTGTGTGAAATATAAATTGTACATAAAAACCCTTGCACACAACAGTCCCTCTATACCTGGGGGCAAGAGTGATACCTACAGGAAGTGGGTGGCAGATACGATCGGCTTGTTGGCACACGGGGCTACAACCGTTGTCGGAAAACCACCAACTCAAGGTTATAACTCTCTTCTTTTGGTCCAAGGTTGTCGACACGGAGTTCCGTGCATGATCCGAAGACTGAGAGATTGAGAGGTCCCTTTAATGGGGGCACCTTGGGGACTTTTGGCCTTGGTGAGAACAGTTTAGAACCACCTAAACCAAGCACATTTCTGCAGGAAAATCCTACCTCATGATTCAATAAGCGTGGCTATGCTCGTGGATGAGTGAATTATGTGTGCATTGTTTACTGCATTTGTATTGATGCATTGGTATAGGGTAATCATACAACAGACCAAAAAATAACAAAAATTTCTAAAAACCATAAAAATGATAAGAAAAAACCAACTTTATCTCGGACAATCTTCATTTAAGCTAGCCTGGGTCCAGGTTCTTTATAAGCTAAGTAGCCACGTTGACTAACAGAAGAGATAAAGGGTTATAAAAAATGATTTAAAGCAATAAAAATACCTCTTACAATAAAAAGGTTTCTTGGCAAAGTCTTATCATTCATACAACATCAGTACATAAGAGTAATAAGAGGAGAAAATAGGACTCTCTTCATCAAAACTCATAAACATCCATATAGATAGTTTCCTTTTCAAGAAAGAAAAAACCAAGCACTATCATGTATCATACTAAGAATAAAACATGATAATACTTAGAAAAACAAACACCTGCATGCATGCATTTACAAAGACTCATCCTCATATCATGCATTTTTATTTCTTTTAAATAATCGAGGGATCCTGTAATAGACAGTTAAAGAAAGTGAAAATATTTCTATGCCGTGTAGAGAAGCTAAGACAGTTGTGCTCATATATGTCGTCGGAGGTCAATGCTAATTTTGAGAAATCTTATGGAAGGATTCTTGACCTCCTAAAAATTAGCATCGATCCTATCTTTGTTAGAGCATTGATGCACTTCTGGAATCCCAATCTGCACTGCTTTGAGTTTTCACAATTTGATTTAGTACCAACCTTAGAAGAATATGAACTCATGGTAAGGTGGCCTCAGTCAGTCGGAGTCTACATCTGCTCAGGAGTGTCGCCGTCGTTAAAACGAGGGCAGTCGGAGCGACGCGATGGTTTCGACCCTCTTGATTTTCGCGTTTTGGTGGTTATAACGCCTTTAGGTTGTCCGATAACCGGGCTGAACCTAGAGGCAAGGTTTTCGAAAAGGCGCTCTTGGATTGTCCGATAACCGGGCTAATCCAAGAGTTAGTTTTGAAAAGGTTCTGTGGAGTCGCCACCGATGTTTTTACCGGAAACATCGGAAAAGGAGTTAAAAGGCGTTGGTTTTCGAAAAAAACCAACTTTGGTCGTTAGAACCAGAGTTGGGTAAGGGAGTTAGTTACGTGTAAAGGAAGTGTTAGTTCCTTTACGACGCCCCTTTCGGGTTCCCTATGACAGGCCAGCTATTTAAAAATATTTAAACATGTGAAAATTACGCTTTTACCCTTTTATTCTGCGGAATTTAAAATTATGACTACATGGCCCTATCTATTGCGTTATTTAAATAAAGCGGTAAAAAGGTGAGAGAGAGAGAGCAAAAACCTTCGAAGCGAGCTTTCTATTTATTTTCTCAATAAATTGGGTGCGTTTTGGTAGCCCTTCACTCTACACAGCGTCAAAAGTCTCTCAAACGCTCAAGAAACACTCTAAAGACACTCAGAAGCTCCGGAAATGCGTCGGAGGGATTCTAGAGAGAGAAATCCTAGAGAGAAGGAGGAGAAACTGTGTGTTGGTGTCTGGAAATGAGGGGAGGGAGCCCTTATTTA